GCTTGGAAATGTTCAGGAATGCATTTCTTGGGGATTTTCACATTTAACTTCCACGTGTTATTATGTTTATCAGCATTTATTTAATGTCTTGCATAGTTTTTATCATTTGTGTAATATATAATGCATTTGTCGAGCAATAAAAAAAAAACAGCATTAGGTATTCGGAAATATTACTCAAGAATAAAATTGTCCGCACTTGCAGGCTATTTTGTGCGGCGGTTTTTTTCCGCGGACTTTTTATGTGGGTGGTTTTTCTGCGGACTTTTTATGTGAGCGTTTTTCTGCAGGCGTTTTCTCTTCTCGCGTCCATCTTCGCCCATCTTACATGAGCTCGACGTCGACTCGAGACGTCAAAATGCCTCTTCACCTCAACCTTGAAATGCTACGTCCCTTCCAGAAACGTCAAGACGATTCGACGCTTTTCGTTTCCAATAATTTAAATTTTCTATGCATGAGCAACTGAGAAAAGTAAAGGTCAACAGAGTTAACAAGCTAAAAGGTTCTTCGATCTCCAAAACAGAATTTTAAAATGTCGTCATATTCCCCACCAGTAAAATGAAGAAAAACAGCCAATGCATTTCGTAACAGTACAAGACGGAGATCCTCAGACGTCGCAACGGTACAAGAAATCAGATTCCAAAAAGGTCACGAGATTTTCCTCGGTAGACCAACCTCCATGCACCAGGAATTCTCATCAATATTCGAGTAACACGTTGACATTGACACAAATGATGTCCACTCGCCGAGTCCTCACAAAGTCGCTTTTTAACTCAATGCCATCGGGGAAGGAAGCATCCACGCGGAGTCGAACACGCGCGCATCCGAATGCGCGCGGAATCGAATACGCACGAACGAGCGAACGAGCGCCGAGTCGAATATGCCCTCCGGGCCCATCCCCGAGTGAAAGACCCGAGCGACGGACGCATCGCGGTGAGCAGTCCCGTCAGAGCATCCGCCTGGATAACGCCTCGCCTTCCGCCCTCATCAGAACGGACGTGGAAGAAGCACGATGCGTCTCCTTCAGATCCTGCTGGGCGTCCTTTGCCTCTCTCTAGTCAGTGCCGACATCAAGTTCCAGTCGACGGTCGAGGAAGACGCCAAGAACTTTTGTGGGGGTGAGTCCGATTCTCCTGAATTTTTTCCATCGCGTTTTCGTAAAGTTTCGAGAAAAGAAAAGCCACGGAACCCAAATCTCGCTCAGAGGAATTCGAAAAAGCTCCTCAAAAACGAAATCTGAAGATGAAATCCATTCAGGACGAAGACTTCCACGTGACCCCGATTGCAATCTGGAAAGACTCGTGAACATTAAAATCATTCGAAGTTTCATCCTGAAAGGTTCCGGGCATAATTTATCATCCGATCGAGACGATTATCAGGATATTTTCCCAGACGATTCAGTAAGGACACTCGACGGGAGTCAGGCAGTAAGCAAAGGTCAGTAAAAGTCATTCGCACACGCCAGCAAGGGCATTTCTCACGGTGTCGACGTTTTCTGGTTTAATGAGGATTCATTCTTATCTCATCAGTTTCTCACAGCGGTAATGCTAATTAGAATTTATAATAATAATAATAATAGGCATACCGTCTCATTCGTAAAAAAAATAATAATAATTAGTGGAAATTTCCGGTTGAGCACGTGTGACGTTGAGTGGCACCACTCGTGACGGTGAGCCAGGCCGGCATTGCATGACTGGCGGATTCTCGCGAATCTGATCGCGGTGACTCACTCTCGCGATAGCGAAGACGCGGTGAATTGTTGCCGCGTTAGCGTCGCGAATGAGGCAGGCTGCACTCGAGGGGGGGAAAAAAAATTCACATTGTGTCGAAGGCCCAGAGATTTTCCCACATAGATGGAGAAGTCCGTGGGAAGACGGATGCTTCATTGTCTCTTGGCATTCAATCTGCGAAAATCTCTGAGGGTTCTCGACGCAATTATTTCTTTCAACGTGTATTTCTCATGTCTTTTTTTTTTAGGCTCATTGAAAGGCGGGGCAACGCACGCCGTCGTGACCATCACGTGCGAGAGCGCCTCGGCTAACAAGGACAATGAAAATAAGACTAAGGACGGGTGCTTAGCTCAAGCAGGAGGGAAAATCCCCATCAAAATCTCCTTCACTCCAGGTAAATCTCGGTTTAGATATTCGCGTTCCCGAGAAAAAAAAAAAATTTTATANATAAAAATTTTGGAACGTTCCTTGACCCCGCGATCAGGGTTGTCAGAATTTGTCAAAGCAAAGACCCAAAAAGTAAAATCATATATGAGATTCTTCTCCCTGGAATCCCAGGGAAAACGAGGGCTTGGGGTCCGGTGTGCCCACTCCCATGCGATGGTATGATTCAGTTGCGATGGGAGAAAGTGAGAGAAGCTTGGCTTCTTTCCGTAGAGATTCCGCGATGATCGATGCCCGAACCACTCGGATCGATTCATCGACGCATTAGAGCCGACAGGAAAAATGAGGATTTGCGAGGGTAGCAGCTTCTAAAGGCAGGGTTGCAGCCGCCCAGAAGGCGCTTACGAGAACGGAAGTCAAACATCGAAAGTGGGAATGCAAAGTGGGGAAGCCCGGGGTCCACGCTCCTCGCGGGGGAGCAAGGACGCCCGTTGACGTCGTGAAGGTCATGGCCAGGAGGAAGCACTGTAAATGTCCTCTGGGGAGATATCCCCTGCTGGTCAAGGTCGGGACCGGGGCGCCACGAGGCGTTTCGGTCCATCTCGATTTGAGGTAGGGTGTTATAGCCATTTAAAGGTCGTTGGGGATGCATTTTTAACAGCTCTTTTGCGGTTAAGCGCCCTTTGAGGTTTATTTTAAACCGGAACTTCCAGAATCCGGAAGAGAAACGCGGAAGCGATGAATGCAAATGAGAAACAACAAAAATTCCAAGGTTGAATTTGGAAGCTTTTCGGATCCTCTTCCGTGTGTTTTAAATAATCAAATACTTGAGGTAGACCGAACGGGGAGGAAGTCCCCCCCTCCCCCGGAAGGGTACAAGGTAACACGTGTTGAGGATGCGAAGGTCACCTACCTCGATTCGAGTGGGAACACCGGCACAACCGTCTTACAACACCGAAGGTGGCTTCTTCACCCTTCAAGTCAGCTGACAACCCTGACCGCATTCCCCGAGGAAGTCACCGTAATCAAATAGGGGAAGTGGAACGAGGGCAGATTCATTCGTTTCCCCCTTCCCCCCCCCGACCTTCGTGATAAAAATAAAGGACCGAAGGCGTGAAGCAAGTGATGAAATTCGTCATTTTTTTCGCAAGAATTCGACAGCAAGAAGGTGCGCCAGCGGGCAGTGGCCCCGGTGTTCGGCGGCCTGAGCCGACTGCCCGGTCTCAAGGAGGTCATCTGCGACGAGAGCGTCGGGAAGCTCTGCTCCACCAAGGGGAAGCGGCAGACGCTCAAGACGGATCTCAAGATCCCTCCGCTCATCCCCACCACGGTAGATTCATTTATTTTATTCGTTCCCGATTCGATCGACTCGAGTGACGTTTTTAACGTCCGCGCTTCTGGGACACGCGAAGCATCGACAAGTAATTCGATGGGAAGATATTTCGGCTCGGTGCAGGCATCCAACAGAGAGCCTTCGACTGGCTTAAAATTAACGACGAATCCGTGAGTCAACTGGAGGATTTTGGCAATTTTTGGTAAGTGAGTGGGATTCACACCAGATCCGGAAATCCGGAACGGTTGGAATGAAATATTTGGATTTGTTGGGTTTGATCCGAAGAGCGTTTTGGCGAGGTTTTTTTTTTTATAGATACGGTAGTCGTAGTAATGTTGTATCCTCCCAAACTTGACCACCTTTACCACTGTGGTGAAGGCCATCTGGCCGATAACGGTCGTCTTTCTTCTTTTTCTTGTCTGCTCCTTCTCCGCTCTCCTTCGACAAACTCCAGTCTCCCAGTGGGCTGTGCGGGGGGGTTAGCGCAGGAAGAAATCCTTAATCAAGACGTCTCCACACAGCGTCTTTCGGGGGAAGTATATGACGTTTGACTGATTTGAACCCCAAATCTTTGCAAAATCAATTTCGCAAATCCACAGATTCACTCTTTCCTGCAGTCACTACGAGGGGTGATCGGAAAGTAGCAAGACAAGGCCAGTAGTTCTGAAAAAAAAAAAATGTTAACCAGTCACGCATGTATTGTGGTAATATCTACCCTGCACTACTTCTCAATATCGTCACCACCCAAGTTGAGACATTTGTCCCATCGAAGAACCGGCTTTTCCATGCCATCCCCATATAATTTTTTTGTCCTGTACGTGCAACCACTCTCGAACCGCATCTGGAACCGCAGCATCTGCAGCGAAATCACGTCCGCCGAGGTGTTTCTTCGAAGGCCCGAGCAGCTGGAAGTCGCTGGGCGCGAGATTAGGGTTGCATGGAGGATGATCGAAGGCTTTCAGCCGAAACCTCTTCAACAGCTCCTGCGTCTGGCAGGTCCTCGGTCATCCTCCATCATCTCGCGCCCAGCGACTTCCATCTGTTCATACTTTGTTCGAAATGTTAGAAGTAGCCATTTCTGAAACACATGAGAAAATCCTTTGTCGTCATGTTGCTACAACTTGCTGAAAATAAACTCCCCACAGTTTTATTCCTAATACAAGTACAAACTCCCAGGAAGAAGCAGATTAGTGCCGTCATATGCCAAATATATATACAACCCTGTAAAGTCAGAAAATTGCGAAAATTTCAGTCATCCGTGGAATTGCCCCTCTGTGACCTACAGGGGAGAGAGCTCTAGCTGCAAACGATGCACCATTTTTGCTGGGACATTACCGCACTCGGGGGTATAAGCCACTATAGCTCATTACCTCTGTAAGCAATTGTTGGTCCAGCAAAACTGACTCTGATCGACTCACGGATTTCATGTTAAATGCTTGCCGATGGTTTCTTGGGGGAAACCGAGGGAGAAATAAACTTCGTAAAAATAAACGATTGAAAAATCCAAGCAAAGCTTTCGCACGAGCTGGAAATGTGAATTCTTTCGAATGGCGATCATAGGATGACGTTACATTATCGAAAAAAAACTCGTTTCTTCGCCCTTCGAGCGAGAGTAACTAAGCTTTCGCGTTCTGGAGACTTTTTTTTCTAAATAAATGCTTTTGAGAGATTAACATCAGTATCAGAGAAAGCAATGGATGGAGAGAAATTGAGAAATTCTTATGAAATAATTTCACTTTCTCCGCGAGGACAAATTTTTTTTCATCCCAGTTAGATAGCATCAAATTTTTTTTTAAAGACGATACTGGAATGAATAATCACCGAATTCATCTCTGAAACTTTTTTTTTTCTCCAGGTGGACACGACAGCGCGATACGAGCTGTACAACGAGAGGGACGAGATGTTGGTCTGCTTCGCCATTCCCATCAAAATCCCGCCGGGTTTCGGACGATAAGCCGCGAAACATTTATAAAATTGCCCTCAACATTTATCGACATTTATAGCAGCCCAGCTGCCGGGAATAAATGCGACTTTGTTTTTACTGCTTTACGTCCAATGGGAAATTTGGGAAAGTGTTTGTTTTTATGACTTCTGAAATTTATGCATTTGGGTGTGGGTAGATATAAAATAAAGACGATATCCTTACTTGGTTTTTTTCTTATCGTTTTCTAATATTAACTTCAAAACCGGCTCCTGAATCAATCAATTCTTATCAAATTCGGGATTGATTAAGAGGAATGTCAAGGTCATGCTGACAGTTGCGGCTGTGGCAGCTGCGGAAAGGAACTCCCACCTTTTCAGTATCTGATTTTATTTTCTGCTCCTTTTTCATTGTTCTCTTCGCAAAAACAAATGAACACAAGAATCGACCTCCAATTTCAATATTTTATAAGACAAAACAGCAGTAATAAAAAAGTGGCTCAGAAAATAATTTTTGGAAAATAAAACTTTTTTTACCCTCCGTGCCCAATCGTGCTCGGTGCGTAGGAAAGTGCTTTCACGGATTCATGCTGAAGAAGGGTGCCACCCTGGTGGCGGATCCTGGTGAACCTTGGGTGCACCCCTGGTGAACCCAAGGTATTTATCGGATGAGAAGTAAGCAACAGCAGCTCTGACCCAAAGTCGAAGAGCATGATTATCCCATAATTAATATTTTTCACAAAATTATGACACATTTTTCGACAAGAGGCACGTCGACATTGACGATTAAGACGATTAACAAAGCGAATCGTTTAAGATTAAGAAAAATTAATTTCCACACGATATTTAAAAGAAATACGGGGCAGAACATTTATTCAATAGATTAAGTTCTCTGCTGTCAATGCATTTTTTTTGCGCCAAGGTTTTTGCACGAGAATTTCCAACGAGAGTAGCTCGCCAAGGCGGACGACCACCCAGCAAGGCACTCGAGCCTTTCAGGCACACTGTATCAATAAAAAAAAAGATTTTGGCCGAATCAATGAACTTTTAAAAGGACACTCGTTTTCCCAGTTTCTACGAAAAACCCACTGTGCCAAATTCCACGTAAAATTTCACCACTCATTGCTTTCGAGGATTTTTGGATACCGATAGGAATTCATTGATCTATCAATTAAAAAATGTAAAATCATCCTTCCCGCTTCCGTTTGGATGAAAAATAAAAATAAAAAAAACAAGGAAGATGTACACCACCGTAGAAAAATTTTTAAATAGCAAACCAAGACGAACGATTGGTCAGACTTATACCAGCAAAAAGCGAAAAATTGAGCTAATTTAAAAATAAATACTTTCTATCATCGTCAATTCGGAGAAACTCGCCGGAGAAAAATTGTGTCGATTTTTCTTCCTGATTTGAAATAATCTTTGTTCATCGTCGACCCAATCGGAATTTTTTTCCCCATCAAAACGTTTAATTTTACATTTACAAGTTCGAGGACACGAGGAAACGTGTAATCCACTCGACACGCCTGACGGCCCTTCAAGGCTCATCTGATGACCTTGGCCTTATCTCGAGTAATAATAGATTCCAATTAGCGCATCCGTTTACAAAAACGGATGGAACTTGCGCGACCGCTTCAGAAATGTTTGGAATTTCCGTAAAAAAAAAAAAATTTCACCTGGCGCTCAAAAATGTCTCGCCGAGAAACTTTTATTCGGGCTGAAGATTTTCAACATTTTTTTGTGGTAAATTTGCCTAGTTTCAAATTAAATTTTGGCGCCGCCAAGGATTGAGAAAAAAATCCGCGCATACCGGGTTGTCCAGGAGGGGTTTTATGATCAATAACTTTATAACAATATTAAAAAAAATAGCGAATACCATTCGACTCGACATTTCGCCCATCCCGGACAAAAAAATTGCCGCGCGATTTCGCGCACCGCAGTTTCGATGCGCGCTTTCTGCCGATTCTCGAGGATAAACGACGGATTCATCGACGACTTATCCTAGATTCTCGAGGATTAACGACGCCCTCGACATGGCCCAGAAAAAAAAAGGTCAAAGGAGCAAGCAGTTGACTTTTCTCTATCTATAACAAAACATCGCAGAGACTTCGTTTCTCAAGCTTTATAATGGCTATTTTGTTACATAATTAAAAAGTGACCGATCATTAAATCCCCACCCGGACTTAATACCGTAAGAAATGCTCTTTTCTCATAGATCCATCGATCTTCGTCGAAGATCGGGGTCCGATGCGATCGGTTCGGTCGGTCTCCTTGTCTGATGCGGCGTCCCTGGCTCGACTCCAGCCGCGAAGGCTGACGATCAGAGGCTGACGATCGCCCATCATCAGCCATTTCCCGATCGAAACGGTTTAAAACCCTTCCAAAAGCAGCTCGACAAATCGACAGCATGCAAATCCGCGAACGAGACACGGTCGCGGCGGACCCGGTCGCGGCGGACACGGTCGCGGCGGACCCGGTCGCGGCGGACACGGTCGCGGCGGAACCGTTCGAGTTCGGCAAGATTAATTATTTGGACGCTGGACCCTCTCCTCCGTCATTTGAAAGAGAAAACGGACCTTAAAGAGAACATTGCATGAAACACTTTACGGTATGTTAAAATTCCCATTCATTTTTTTTCATGTTGGGTAATTAAATCGGCGCTCGGTTTCGGCTCCTTCCGTTCCCCTAGGCCTAAATTTTTTCTTCGTACATCAGATGACATTTTCAAAATTATTTATTTAAAACAAATAGCAATCGGTGACTCGAGGGAGATCCAAGAAATTCGCATCATACGGGCGGACGAAGACGTGGCAGGTCCTTTTTTTCCTGTCAGAAAGATTCTCTCCGAAGAAGGGCTATTCGATTTTATCGGTAATATGATTTTTTTTTCCCTCTTTCGAAGGTTCGACACCCGCGAGATGCCCTCGGCGAGACACGCAATTAAACCGTTGCATTCGGATCGATCGCCATTCGAGAGAATATGACTCCTTCGGCAGATCGCGAAGCACCGCCGCCCTCATCGACGGGCCGAAGGAGAAGATTCCCCCCGCGAGCACGCGGTGAGAACGCGGTGAAAAAGGGATCGGCGACTCCCGGGAATCCCAAGGCCGTCTTGATCGACGAGATAAAAAAAAAAAGAAAAAAAAAAGAAGAAAACTGCCCTCGGACGCATGCAGTGGATGAGCCGATCGACAGAGATGGGCGCGTGTGGTCGTGAGGCCCCATCGCCGTATATTTTACACCGTCGAGCCCACCGAGGAAGTCGACCAGACCCGCGAAAGACTCCTCGGCGACGATTCGAGCGGTCGATGACGTTCCGGTCTCGCGTCGGGTTCGTGCGGGTCCGTCCCTCGTCGAGGCCAGATCGTCTATGGGGATCGACTGCACGATGAACCGATGAATGAACATGATCTTCGTGACCCCCGGGACGAGACGGCGACTCGGAGAGCGAATCGGAACGAGCGCAAGAAGGAAAACATTTCCACGGTTCATATTCTTTCCTGTCCTGCTGGTCGTTTTATCGTTCTACATCCGACGCGAGTCTTCCATCGTTCTTCCCAATATCTCACTGAGCACCAGAACAAATTGCAACGATCGCAAATGCGAACCACCCGGGGCCTATTCCACAGAAGATTTACAAGCTACAAACTACAAGTCTATTACTTGTAGAAGCAAGTTCCTGTTCTGCGAAAGAAAATTGTACAAGGAAGATTTACAAGCACAAGTTCATCCATTTACAAGCGAATTGAGTTTGTAAAAATGGATTCTGTTCCACAGAGCCAGATGTTTTACAAGTCTATAGACTTGTAGCTCTAATTCCTACAAGACTTTCAAGCTTGGTAAATGTATTTTCTGCACTCCTGTGCCTAGCGTAGACAATGGATTTTCCTGTTGTGACCATTGCATAAGACAATATAGGCACAGTTTTATTGCGGTACAGTGCAGTAGAGTTGGGCTCATTGCCAGCTAAAGAAGGATCGTAGCAACTTTCCTTGACGCCCTCTACGATAGAATTAACCTTGAATGTAAGTGTGGACTCGAACAGCTTCCCCACTTTGTTGGGCATATTCGATTGCACCCTATCTGGAATACGTTGACTCTGGCCTTCAGGCCAAGACATGCATATTCGATTCTGCATATCCAGCTCCTTGTTATATGAGATATCCATACGCTTTCATTGACGCTCTTTTTGCGTCATTCCGTAAGTGCTACTCGATAGAGAACTCTGGACTGCACTCAGAACTTGTAATATGAGCTGGCTCCAGTGCCTTGTAATTTTCGATTTTACAAGCACTAGTGCAAACTCCGTGGAACAGAAAATACAAATACTAGTAAATACAGCCACTCCGCTGGTGGCTTGTAGCTTGTAAATGTTTTGTGGAATAAGCCCCTTGATGGCTTCACGATGGGAGAGCACCGCACAGGTCTGACAGCGAAACGCGATAGGAACAGGGCAGTTGGGCGATCATTCGCGCTTCCCGCCGTGAGTGCTTGGCGGTACCGCGTAGATCCGACAACGCGCGATTCGAACGGGTGCGCTGTGTATGCCCCAGAGGTATGATATAAAAAATGCTCAATGTTCCATCTTATGAAAATTTTTCAGAGATGCATGAGGCATTTCTGAACATATTTTGATTGCTCTCAGATGCCACTAGATCCACAGTCCAACACTTGAAATCATGGATCAAACTGAGAGCTACATAGGACAGGTTTTTTTTTCACACGTTTTGTCTTTCTTTCTTCGTTTCATCTCCTAAGTAAAATGAATAAATACAGAAACACATTGGTTTAATTCAGAAAACAGTATCATTGACAGGAAATGGCACCAACACAGAACATAGGCAAAAAGTATGGCATACAATAGCAATATTTGGAGAATGATTTGATGACATCAATGTGGCTGCAAGCTGTGAACCTGAATGCACGTTCAAACTAACCATCAGACTTTGTGATCGGTAATGTGCTTCAATTTGTGTTCTCAAAATAGAATATATCATTTAAAAAAAACTATGGAAACCATAAGATGTTCTATCATCGAAAAGCTCTGGCATTTTCACAGCTGGCGGGAATGTTTCACATGGTTGGTTGAACTCAAGACTTCTGTGTGGTTTTGTCTGGTAATATTATTCTTTTTGACTGCTGAAGATGTCATGTGTCAAGTACACTACAGTATTTCATAGCACACCCTTTCTTGCTTTAAGAAGACATTCATGTCTCAGTTCTACACTGAATAGATTAGGGATGATTTGTAGCTTGTATTACAAAGGCATGCAGTACTGTTGAAATGTATTCAAATGATTCATGTGATGAGAGGAGGGAAACAGAAAATCCCCTTAAAGAAGAAAACCCATGAGTGAAAAGCATCAAATCTTTAATGCACCAGAAGAACTGGGAAAGTGACAGCAAGACGCACCATGTGAGGTTCAAACTCATAATAAATATGGCTCTGTTCACCTGCATGCTTATGCTTGATTATTATAAGCCTATTGATATTGAGGCACAGTTGGAAACCTTTGGAAGAAAGATAGAAAAGGAGAACAGGTCACTGGGTGATACCAGAAAATAAATGAGATGTCCTCCACCACATGAGTAAGGGTTGACTGAATGCGATGCAAACTAGGAGATAAATTCGTCTCTTGTTCCCCGAAGACAGAGGATCGTGCCCTGGAGCGGCCATTCGAGGCAAGATCTGAACTCGCAGAGCTCGCACCTGGGAAGTGAAAATCGGTAATTCTCATTAAGTCTACCAATGCACAAAAGTTTCCTTTTTACTTGGCTGGTGGGAATATCTTAGCTTCATGAAACTCACCAATAAAAAAGCCAGGGAGAGGCTGCTATAGAGTAAAACAAGATAGTATGCAAGAGACCCAAGGAGAATGCCAGCTACTGCAGCTGCAATCATCCTGAAAATACAATGAATGAGTGGCATGAAATTCTTTTGTGGTCAGCAATAATAAAATATAAACCAAGAGAAGCTAAACATGGAAAACCTACCCAACATATTTGTAGGAGCAATATGATACCAGGTCATACGTGACAAGGTCGGTACTCAGATTGGTTAAGTATATGGTAACCAGAATTAGCCCAACCTCAAGACATAGCCATGCCAGTGATGAACTTGCATGCATCCCCAGCTGTTCAGGGGAGAATCTGCCATGAAGAAAAATCAAAGGTGATTTGATTTCATACATAATCACAAAGCACTAAATTGGAAGAGGAGATAAGTTACTTGTTCTGAAGCCCAAAAACAAGGCCAGCCAAAAAGATATACGTGACAAAAGCCATGGTAGGAATGTAGAGATCAGGGGCATTGATGTCATGCTTTGGCTGAACCATTTCCTCCTTGCTGAACTGCAGGGCCCAATCCTGAAAAGTGAGGAAAATTGCAGTAATTAGCATTCGAATAAGATAGGAACAGAAAATTAATCCATGCTCTCAACATAAGATCTACTAACCCTGTGTGTGAAGGGGAAGAATAGGAGACCTATCTTCTTCACCACATACTTGGTATCAACAGCAAAATAGTACTTGAGGTTCTGAAGCTTTTGACTGTACTTTCCCAAATGCTGATCCACCATTTCCTTACCCTGGCCCATCAAATTTTGCCCATACTGGGATGCAACTCCAGCAATCAAGGGGTTCTGGAAAACGTTTCCCATGGGCATTCCCGACTGCATGGGTGCATAGGAGAAGCCTCCTGGATTGTCTGAAATTTGGAATAATTCCCCATAGAACATCAGCAGATCTCTGGACAAGGAATGATGAAAAAATGGCAAAGAAAAAACAAACATGAGGAATATCCCATAGGAGGATTGGGATTGTTAGGATCATCAAACAATAGAGGTGGTTCCTGCTCCTGAGCTCCATACTGAGGGGCATATCCACCAGCGTATCCATACGAAGCAGCGAAATCTTCTGGTGGGGGAGGACGATCTCTCCGACGCGAGGCATACATTTTAAAACTCCCTTGAAATAAACACTGCCTTCAACAATGATGGTTTGTATTGGTTAAATCCAGTTATCTTTCATTGGCTGAAGGTCATTTCTGCACCTGCATGCCAAGGAGAGACGAGGATATTCATAATCATGGGAAAACACACTCAAGCAACACTTGCAAAATGTAAAAGTTATCCTTTTCTAAAAAAAAAGTTTTAACAAAAACTTAGTTCAAAATGGCAACCAGATACAATTTTAACGACTTCATTTAGCCATGATGCCTTGAAGTGGGCACTTGACTAAGATCATGAAATATAGGATTTTCCGTGAGTGTGAAAGCTGACCAATTCCAAGCCAGGACACTTCTTTTGAAGTTCATTTCTTTTAAAACTGTAAAAATTACAACTGTTGATAATTGCTGCTTCAAGAACCATGGGCATTGACCCTCTAGAGCAGTGGTTGGCAACTGGTGGCCTGCAGAAGTCCTCCCTCTGGCCCACGAAGACCCAGATATCGGACATTATGATCTGACTATAGACATTCAGCTGCATGTTTGACATGAGACATTCAGTAAAATTGTCATTTTAGTGACATTTGGCAGGCACTGGCTTCAAACATTCAGCGTTCTGCCATCCGGCCTGCTGTGAAATATAGTTGCTGACAACTGCTCTAGAGTATGATCATCATATGGGTATTTGCAAAGATCCAAAGTAACATAACTGTAACTAGAGAAATATTGGTCAGATATTAGAAAAGAGGCCCATTAAAAACATGTTTGATGCTACAGTTAGAGTCATCTAAGGGCAGTTGACAGATTATGATGGCAGTCCATAAGAATGGAAGTTACAATATACAGTTTATTGGAATTTTTTTAAATGAGTGCAAGTTTGGTCTCAAGGGTCTGTAGATCCAGGAAATGGCACGTCCATAAAGTTCCAGAGCAATGGCACTAGCATTTATGCAATCAGCAACGAATGAATTTTGCTTTTGATAGGCTGAAAGTGTAGGAGTTGCAGGCCTATGTCTGTCTAGATATGCAGTCGGCTCAGGTTTACTTCACCCTGAACAGTTTTTCAATATTCCACATGTGACTTGCCAATGGATTTGTATCACCTTGAATTATTCTAAATGTTTTATCCATCGCTGGAGGTATACTCTCACCTCTTGGGTGAGGGTTTATCTTTATGACAGGAATAGCAATAAGCTAATTGAGTCCGTATTACAGCCGACACGGACTCATTTGTATATCACCGTGTTACGTGTAACAGATGGCAGACATGCTCTTGAACGTTCGATCTTCCAAGCGCCGGTTCACGAGAATCGCAAAGTTCTTATTAGTTTCTTGCAATAGTAATGTTTCCCATATTGTAAATTCTTGTCGCCGTAAAGGAAAAAAGTGAGCAGGGCTCTAAGATCAAGCAAAAAATGTATATTGTGAGTTTTAAAAAGAATTGCAGCGATTCCTAGTAAAACACTCCTCACGTCGAATATGCTTCCCTCTGTTCTTCCTTCGTTCTCAGCACGGATGATGTGTATTCTCTTGCCAGCCCATGGTTTTCATCAGCGCGTCACTTAAGTGGTTTTTACAAAAGAATTCGTCATACATATAATCTGGTGTCCACAGGTTTAATGGCTTTTCTTTGGTGAATGATGGCATCGGTTCGTTGCATGCGCTAGCTAGAGATTATGCCTACAATGTGAAGGATTATACGAATTCATTTGCAAATCCCTGAGCTGGAGAATATAAAAACAAGGAAGAAAAGCCTGGATGGTTAATCCGTGTTCGTACTTTTTAGCTGAATAGTACGTATCTTCAAGCGAATACTTGGCAACTTTTGAGGCAATGGCAAGCGTAGGCCAAACGCTAGGCCTAGGTCTCTGATTTCTATCGGATCATAATTGTTGGTTGCCTTGATTCTTTCCCCTTCACAACGAAGTCATTAGGGAAATTTGGAATTTGTAGATGAAACCGGGCTACTACCTTTGTTTTTGGGGTGACTTAAAGAGTCTATGTTGGCCCTAATTCTGTTTCATATGGTAGCCATTGCTTATGCAAACGTTAGACATTCATCAACACACTGTCAGACCCCAGGATCGATAGGCTTAGATCTTATCCATCATTGAGCTTTAATGGTAGTGCTGAGTAGCAGCTGCTTTGAGGTATACTTGCTACATTTAATCTAAGTTTCCATTTAAAAACCGTCGGGTTTCTCGATTTCCATGACTTGAAGCAGTAGGCCAAAGGGAGGTCTTATGGAGGAAGCAACATGGAAATTTGGCTTATCCTGTCAGTGAAGGACCAAGTAGCTAAGGTCAATGATTACTGGTTATGTTTTCCTTGGTTTTTAAACTTAGTTTTTGTTTAGAATGAAAGATTACTTCTTGCACAAGGCAACTTGCCAGCATGGTTGACTTGGAGTCAATATTAGGGTGGAGTAATAATTTTATGAGTGGACGCTCTAGGAATATACGGTGGCGATGGTGGGGTGCATGCATTGGGTGGATGAATACAGAGAATGGGGATTAGAGTGAGGCTCTGTGTTAGAACATGGGAAGTCAGCATAGTTAGGGTTAGAGGGGCTGTTTTAGGTTTCTAGAATTGCCAAGAAAGCTGTTCAGAATGATCAGCATGACTCTTGTCATTGAGATACTGGCAAATGGTGAGAGATATGTGAGATTAATGCTGGTTTCCTTAATCAGTATGGCTCCTGCTATAGCAGATCGTATATAGATCCAAGAACCATTGCTTTTAATGTGAAATAAAGTCACCTTACTGACTTTATTCGCAAAAATTAGTGTTTGATGTGTGATGTTGGAGGGTTACTTTTGCATTGAATCAGACTCTTCCCTTATTGGAGTTTGCCAGCAATCATATACCTTAACCAATCAAGCTTCTTCAGAATGAGAAAAGTAAAGAAGCCTACCCATGCTCTTGTACTGGAGACTGCATATCTAATGTAGCTTAATAATTGTCTCTTATGACTCCCAAAGACTTAATTCTGTAGCACTAGACTGGTGCTGACTGGCATGTAGAGAATAATGGCTGGTTCTGCATAGGGTGAGTTGGTCTCCAACTTAGTAAAAGAGGAAATTGCAAACTATGGTATAATTCTCAGGAGGATAGGGAACCCGTGGAAACATGATACAGTAAAAACTTGTTAATTTGAATCCTGATATGTCGAAATTCCACTTATCTCAAGGTTCAATGCTTCGTCCCAGCTGAATCCTATAAGATACCATGTTAAATATTCAGTTTAACTTGCATTTGCTCATCTTGAATTTCTGGACATCTCGAACGTCATTATCACTCCCAATTACAATTTTTTGTGGTTAACTTGAGATTGGGGTGTGAAGGGGGGAAAAATTATTGGGGGACCTTCAGTTCTTGCCTTTTACCCCTTCAACTGTTGGTTGAAGGGGTAAAAGGCAAGAACTGAAAAGCTTCTGATATAAAAGGAAGCTATATGCAGCACTTCTCCTGTCTGTCTATTGCTCTCACTTCTTGCCATTCTAATCATATTTGGTTCCTGGAGTACAAGGTGAAGGGCATTGTGATGAATTAATGTTGTGTATGGAATATCAACTCTAGACCTGAATTAGAGTCATTTATAATGAAATGGTCATCACTCCTTGAAATCAGATTATCGAGGGCCGAAAAATTGCCCCATTATCTCCCTTAACATGAGTAATTTTTTTACATTTTATTTGAAAAAAAAAATTTTTATTGGTAGAGGCAATTCCTCATAAGTCAAACTTTGGATAACTCGAAACGATTTGCCCAGTCCTAAAATGTTTGAGTTAACAAGTTTTTACAGTATTCAGAAGCTGAACATGGCTATTTTTGGGATTTAGGAGAATTTTTAGTTAGAAAGAACACTAAAGAAAATACTTATGAAATCAAAGCAGTTGTTAAGCTCTCAGTGATAGCTACAGTGGACCATGAAATCCAAGTTGCACTTGGAACTAGATTAACCCTGTAAGTATTTTTGCATTATATCTGCATCTTGCTCCTGTGCACCATTTACTTTTCTTATAGTATGGGTATGTTGGGTGCTATAGTAAATTTTGTATGCCAGTGCACAGACATCCCATATAAAAATGAAAGCAGAGTGTAGACTGGAATTTAAACATTTGATATGTAAATACCAAAGCCACATGAATTGCTTCTTGTATTTCCTTATCAACAGATGCACATGTCCCAATTAATTGATGACTTAGTCTTAACTTGTGTCATATGCTTGAAAGTCATTTTCATTGATTAGTATTGATATGCTTAACCAAGTTGTAACTCAAGGTCTCTTTGTGTTCAACCTTTGGCTACTAGTTTGATATATTTCATGAATAGTTGTTTGAGTGTATAAGGAGAGAGGAGAGTGGGTGGAGATATGGAAAAAAAGTACTGCAGTTAGTTTTGAGCTGTAATGTAAGATAATGTAGCATCACAGTCACATGATTAATATCAACATTTAAAGCATATTTCAAGTGACATTGCCTTCAATTGTATATTTTATTGAATTTTCTTCAAGTGAAACACTGTAATTAAATGTACTTTTATTATGTTATTCTCCTATTGTCCTTTTTATACTTATATTAAATACTGTGTACAGTATAGCTTGTTGGCTTAATAGCATCTCATTTCCACTTCATAGGCCCAATTTTCTCCATGAGCTCACATGAGGAGCAGGTCATTATCTCATATCTCACAATTGTTGCAGATCAGTCATGAAGATCGATTTGTGTGCATTCAGTGGGTATAAAATATACCCTGGCCATGGAAAGCGCATGGTGAAGGTTGATGGGAGAGTCTTCAACTTCCTGAATGGGAAGTGTGAAGCTTCCCATCTCATGAAGAGGAATCCACGTGAGATCACATGGACGGTCCTCTACAGGCGAAAGCACAAGAAGGGTCAAGAAGAAGAACAGGTGAAGAAGAGAACCAGGCGAACGGCGAAGTTCCAACGAGCCATTGTTGGTGCCACTCTGAATGACATCATGGCCAAGAGGAACCAGAAGCCTGAAGTGAGGAAAGCCCAGAGAGAACATGCCATTCGAATCGCCAAGGAGAAGTCCAGGGCTGCAAAGGCTGCAAAGAAGGCCACTCAACCACCTGCCAAGGCAGCAAAGGCACAGCCAAAGCAGAAGCCTGTCAAGGCTATTCAGAAGGGAGCACCCAGGGTTGGAGGAAAACGATAACAACTCTACATTATCCTTATATCCATCTACCTGCGTTTATCCCAGTTGTTTTGGCTGATCTTGAATGAACTCAACTGTGGTTCCTCATTGCTGGTTTTCCTTTCCCATTCACCTTGTCTGCTTTAAAGCTACTCGTATGAGCATGGCCATTATCAGAAAGGAGTAATATCGAGGAGAGGTTGGAGACTACTGATGAATCTGAGGCTTCTGCAAGTTGCACGACACTGTGAAATGTTTACCCATTAGGAAAAAAAAGGGAGACATTATTGAGAAATCGCTGCTCTCTGACTTTGGTGATGGCAATACTCACTGAACAAGGCAGGTCTCCTCATAGGTCCATACTTGTTGCAGGCAAGACCTACAGGAAAAACTATAAAACTGAGCTTTTTGAGCCATACTTCAATACTTTATGAAAGCATGTAAGTGTACATTGATTCAACCTGGGAAAAAGGGGGGTATGCACTTTACATTCCCCGGATCAGTTCATCAAAAACTGATTTTGTGGGATATAGTTTAACCAAGATAATCTCACTCCCATAGATATCCATTTTGCTATGATGACATTTTTTTAAAATTAGGTATGGTGCTTGTTTGCATGAGCAGTTGTCTTGTGGAAATTTTTATTACCTTAAAACTGCATGGAAAAGCTGTCTGAGGTGCTAATACTGCTTGAAATGGATATTCAGGGATTTCACATAATTTTTATGAAAGGTGGAGACATGTGGTTCATGAGACCTTGAGGCAAGTCACCTTAAAGGTGCACTATGGGTTTCATGGTGCTTACCTCAGCCACTGGGAACTTGGAGTCATACAGAACTGAGCCTATCTAAAATGTTATACCATGAACATAAAGGCCAAGAAGCTCTACCACCATAAAATGAAGGAGATTTGGTTTTCAATAATTGCAGGACTATTTACCATGTCTTCCAGCCTGGAGACATGTGAATACTATTCCTGTTGCTAAACATGAATACCTTGAACTGTAAATGTTATCTTTCCTTCTCAAACTTTGTAAGCATTCCATGCGTGCAGCCATGTATGAGTTGAAGCCAATTCAATTGGGCTGTGAGGTATTTGGCTTTGACCTCCTCACAGACCCTTCTGCTGAAAGTGAGTTCAACTTTCACACGAGAGATCCAGTCACTTCAATACACTAAGCAAAGCTGCATAGAAAAAGTTGCTCTTATTTGGTTGCAGTGATGGAGCAAATCAAGGATGATCTAGCCAGGCACAGAATCTTGGTGTTCCGAAATCAAGGGCAAGTTCCTGGGAAAAGGCATGTAGAGATAAGTTGGTGGTTTGGAGAGCCTGAATCAACATTCTACAAGCATCCTAAATCTCCTGATCCAGATGTTTTTCGAGTCTCAAATGACCCAAAGGAAGGCTGCACAGGTGAGGAAACAACCTGATGGCAGGAAGAGTTATATTCATGGGCAAGTTCCATTGCAGAGTGTGAATTGAAGGCAGAAATTTGATGAAGCCAAGACTTTGTGATGACTTGGGATATTGTCCTGAAAAGTAGGTTAGTTTTATGCAGGAATCAAGGAAAAGAGACAGAAAGAGCCAACAAAATCTTTACTGCATCACTAGATGAATATAGGACACTTTTAATGTTGCATCAGTAATAATATGGTTAATCCAACCTCTGATTGTGTTTTGAGCTGATAACAGTTTCTCTGGTGTTCATACTTTCCCCTTCTCTTGTGTCCCATGGTTAGAGAGAAGATTGGAAAGGTGCATTGAAATTAGGGTTGCCAACTTGGCATTAGTCTGAGTGTCACGTGGAGTATCAGGGTTTTCAGCTCAGGTTTGGGTGGGAGCCCACCTGGAGCTCTTCTTACATTTTCATTTTTAGAACCTTGAGTATCAAGTATCATAACGGGTAATGGTTTGTTAGTGCCAATCATACTGGGAGAAAATGATAATTTTACCATTTCTTTTGCTCTTTTCCTATTTCCCATCCTTCAACCATGCTTGCACATGAACTTGAATGTGTGAACTTTCCATTGTGCCCCAAGGTCCCTTAGATCAGGAAGTTTAATATTATTATAGACCAGTATTTTTGAAGAGGTTTTTGTCCACTGACCATAATTTTGCACACTGCCAAAAAATAATATTGTATGTAAAGGGGAAATTGTCATTTTTCCTGCAAACATGAGGAAGAGGGATGATGTGAATGATTGGTTTCTGTTTTATATTTAGCCATCTTTTGACATTACTGGTGATGAGGGAGGATTGAGACATTCAGGTAAAAAAAATCATGAGCTTGTCTGTTGCATAATTGGGATAGAGTAACCCAAAGACAAGACATGATTTTGTATAAGTAAACTGCATCTTGCACTACTCTTAATTTTTGGGACTTTTGTAAATATTTGACCCTTCTCTATTTTGATCGTTTGGTTTTGCCTGATAATATTGTAATGACATTCACTGATTTTGAAACTGCTTACCAATAAAAATTTATGCAAATGGTTCGTGAAATTATGACATTGTTGATATTTTGAAAGGTTTGTCCATTGATTGCATTCACCCTTCCTTGTTTGGTAATTCTATGCTTTATCTGCATCTTAGTGGTAAGAAAGGAACCCATGTAGAGGGGAAGCCATGGTAGTATTGTGTGACTTCTTAGTCACCTGTTACCTGGGCTCAGCAGGATGGATGAGTCATAGTGAACTTGTGAGAATGGTACTTTCTCTGGGCTGTTTCAGGGATATTTAGTATCAAGATTGGTTCTGTTGATTGGAAGGATGAGCTTTAAATTGTTGCTGGTCGTCTCATTGGTCATGCTGGCTTTCAAAACCAGCTGTTCCTATGCAAATGCGTGTATTCGTTGTGTTTACTGATTGTGACACATTTAAAGTCTCCATGGAACAGGTGTGGGGAGGACAGGGTGGCATATCGATGGGACATTCCAGCAGGCTCCCTTCTCCTATTCCCTATACCATATGTGGAGTGTACCTAAGGAGGGGGACACTATTTTCCTTCCTTTGAATGAGCTGATAGAGGGCTTGTCTTCTGAGCGGAAAGGGAGATGGGAGCGGCTGTATATGATATCAGATCGACGTGGAGGACCTGTTCATCCACTCATCTATTCACATCCCATCACAAAGAAGAAGGTGAGATGGGGAAGTGGCTTGCAGTTCATTCTTATCAGTCCTCATGTTTCTGATACTCTGATAACGCCCGATAGAATAGCCGGTAGCACACATTTTTTTGTGGCTTCACCATGAATGTAAGTGGAGTTTTTTTCTGTGTTCTCCTATTTGGTCATTGCTGGGCCAAATGGCCTGACCTGACTAATATGAGGCATTCAAGGGGTGGAACTCCTACCTCATTCAAAGCAAATCTACCATTCGAAGAAGACAACATCCAACTTTCTCGACATTTGATTCCTCAGTTGTACAACCTCACACTCTCCCCTCATTTTGATGAAAGTTTACTCCTCAATGGTCATGTGAACATCCAAGTAACCTGTGTCTTTGACAGTTTGAATGCAACCCTGCATGCTAAAGACATGAATTTCACCTCATTTTCAATGATTGATGAGAATGGAGAAGCAGTTCCCATACTAAGTCATGAGTATGATGATGAAAAGGATAGGCTGACTCTCTTTTTTCAAGAGCATCTAAGGTCAGGGGTGACATATTACATTCTCATTGATTTCTTCTCTACTCTGCGAACTGACAATCGAGGATTCTACTTGTCTAAGTACACGGAAGATGGCATGTTGAAATCTTTGGGTGCCACCCAGCTTTGGGCTATTGATGCAAGGAGAGTCTTTCCCTGCTTTGATGAACCATCCTTGAAAGCTGAATTTTCTGCTGCAGTAATGCACCCCCAGACTTGGTCAGCCGTGTCGAACATGCCTTCCCGAGGCAGCATACCTGTTCCGGGTGAGCCCAACATGGTAATGGAACTGTTTGAGACAACAGCACTTATGCCAACATATCTTCTCTGTTTCATCATATCAGAATTTGAGTCTCGATCAGCCAATGCATCTAACACTTCTTTCAGTGTTTGGACAAGGCCAGACATGATTGAATGGAGCAACATCACTCTGGAGAATGTTCCCCAGATCATCGATTATTTTCAGACTTTATTTCAATTAGATTACCCCTTGCCCAAGTTGGATATGGTTGCCCTTCCATCCCTTTCATATGGTGGGATGGAGAACTGGGGTGTGATTACCTACAAAGAGCAGCTGCTTCTGGTTGAAAAGTTGCACAGTACCCATAATGAGGTCTATGCTAGCATTGCTGTATCGGCTCATGAGTTGGCTCACCAGTGGTTTGGGAATCTTGTTAGCATCGATTGGTGGGGATCACTATGGCTCAGTGAAGGCTTTGCAACCTACTGGGAATTCCTTGGCATGCTGGGCCCAAATCCCAACTGGAATGTGTGGGATATGTTTTTGTGGAATACATTTCAAAGTGCTCTGGAGGCTGATTCTTTTGATAGCACTCATCCCTTGACTATGGATGGAATCGAGACTCTGGAAGAGATAGAAGGGATGGCTGATGTGATTGCATACTCCAAGGGAGCCAGTGTGATTCGAATGCTTTCTTCTGCCATTGGGAATGACACCTTTCTTAAGGGAATCCAGCACTACTTGCGACAGTATTCATATGGGAATGTGGGACCCGATGATCTATTTATTCACCTGCAGAATGCTGTCTGGGAAGATGGGGTCAACCTTGGAAACCATACTGTGGCAGATATTATGGAAACTTGGACCCTTCAAGCTGGTTATCCTTTCATAACTGCTGAAAGAAAGTATGACTCTGGAGAGGTTATCCTGCATCAGAAGAGGTTTTCCCTCATCCCAGATGACACCTCAAATCAAACTCTATGGATCATTCCCATCAGTGTAGCAGCTCCAACTTTCAGTTCGATAAGTCCCATAATGTGGCTGAGTGAGGCAGAATCAAGTCTTAACATCAATTTGGCACCTGCTGACTGGCTACTCTTGAATGTAGATTCCAGGAATTTCCATCGTGTCTTGTACGATTCTGAAAACTACCGTCTCGTCACAGAGCAACTCTTGAGTGATCCGCTGGTTATTCCTACGAGCAGTCGAGCTCAACTGCTAGATGATGCCTTCACATTTGTTTCATCCGCTCATTTGGCTTCCTACATCATCCCACTGAATCTGACTCGTTATCTTCATAGAGAAAACCGTTTTGTCTGTTGGGCCACTGTGACGAGTCACCTCTCTCACATTCATCGGATGCTGCTGATGACCAATGCATTCCCATTCTTTAAGGATTACATGTTGAGTCTTCTGGAACCTAGGTTTGCTGAAACCCCATTTGAAACTCTGCAGGATGTACCAGACAGCTACCCAGAAATCACACAGTGGATGTACCGTTATTTGATCCAGGCTCTGGCATGCACCTTTGAGTCAGAAGCCTGTGTCACTGCAGCAGATGCCCTCTTTCAAGACTGGATGGCAAAATATGATCCCACTGATCCAGATAAAACAATCCTCAGCCCAAATGTTAAGGAAGTGGTGTATTGTTATGGTGTTCATGCAGGATCTCAGACCTCCTGGGAGTTTTTGTACCAGCACTATCAGCTGTCCAAATCAGAAACAGAGAGGAAGATATCCCTGTCTGGTATGTCCTGTTCTCACAATGCAGACACCCTTCAACAGTTCCTTGAAGAACTTGTGAAAGTTGATTCAATGATCAGAGACAATGACATCACAAAGGCATTTGAACTCATAGCAGAGAATCCTATCGGCCGCTATCTTGCTTTTGACTTCCTTCGCAACAATTGGAGCTCATTGAAGGAGAAGCATTCAGACATGAATGACTTTGTTTACGCGTTCCGCATCTTCAACACACGGCAAGAGCTTGAACAAATTCTTGCCCTGAGACAGGAGCATCCTGAAGAACCAGGTGCATTCATGATGACAATCTTCTTTGTCCAGGCCAATATTCACTTCATGGTTGAGCATTTTGAGTCTATCCGAGAGTGGCTCGTCTTTTCATCGTTACCTCTGCAGGAGAATGAACTTAAGTGACACTTGGAGTTTCAGTTTTTGGTGTCTATGCAAATATAGTTGTCATGAGTTCAAAATGTTTTGAATACTCTGTTAACTTAGAAATGTTATATTTTGAATGAAGCATTTATGACTTGGAACAGTCTCTATTGATTCTGTTTTTCTGTATTCTATTGTTTCTATTTTTTATAGTGGAACCACCTACTCATGTCCCACACTAGTAGAACCATTCACATCTTATGGTAGACTCAATAATTCAATTGAATTTTTATCTCTAAGCCAATAAGTTGTTATATACATGAAGACAAAGTCTCACTGAGTTTGTGAATGCTCCTATACCAGCTTCCTTTTTTTAATGTAGTTGTTAAAAATATGAAATTATATTTATCATATGTACTTCTTCTGATAAGAAAATATGATAAAAATGACCTCTTGTAACATTGTCTTATCTATGTCTCCTTGTTCACACAACTAGATGGATTGGCTAATTGTTCAGCATCTGAAGAATGTTCAAACTGCTGATGCTCAATCTTTGTTTCTATTGATTTACAGGGAAACAAAATGAATGCAATCATTACTACCATGCTTTCAGATAGCCTTTATTTCTCTCTCAATCTTGGGGCAATTGCAACAATGCAAGTATGATAGTAGGTTGGTTGCACCTAGAAGAGCAAATAAGATTTGAAAATGCATGTATTTGGGGACCAGCATTTGTCATTAGAGGTGTTGAGGTGTAGCTTTTCAATCCATAAGGGAAAGCCACAGCATGCTGTGTGGCATTGGAAGACAGACTAAACTCTGAAATCCCAGAAGGTTCGATTTTTAGGTTCCTTCCATATTAGACAGTGGCTTTATTCCTGAAGCTGTGTTCCATTGCTGCAACCTCTGCTCAATGAAAGTAGTAAGCTTCTGTAGATGCCATGTGACCATTGCTTTTGCTTTTCCTCGCTCCAGGTTAAATGCCATTTTTTCATTCCCATAGACAATGTGCTTCCACCTTGGAATGACAGAGGCTTTCATGTGGGATAAGGGGACGTCCAAGCAGAGGATCACCTGTCCGCAGGAGACCGCCGAGATCCTGCAGGAGATCGAAGATGAGATAGAGAAGAGGCAGAAACACCTCCAGTATTCACACAAAGTGAGATGACATTCTATACAAAGGTATGTATTTTGGAGAGTGACAAGATGAGAACGTTGCATTCTCGTGTCAGTGGGAAGTGGGAGACTTCATGATATCCGACAACCTGGCGGTGGGTCACTTCGCCAGTCCGCAGACGCAGCATCCGGTCGGGGAGGTCGGCCTGCGGGTCCTCCACCGTACCACCATCAAGGGCTTCTATCCTCCTCAAAAAGAGTACTGAACTGAGTACTGCATACTTTTCATTCCTTCCTTTCCCTAGCTTTGTCCCCATCTGAAACTCTAATCCGCATCATTTCCTCCTTGTTCCTCCTAAACTGTCTCTGAAACTCGATTGTGATACAAATAAATGCAACTGAGTTTTGCTTTTTTGACAATATTTGATGGTTTCTGTGTTAAGCTTGGATTGCCTCCCACTCATTCTGTATAAAATGCACATCATCATATCATTCCTCGAGTAAAGATGAGTAGAATCAAGGACTTTTCCACAGATTTACATCACTCTGTGCTAAGGCCTTCACACACACTTCATCCCACAGTATAAACCAGAGGCCCTCTGAGTTCGTGGGCCAGTTCATAGTGCATAGTGGCTCCTCAATATGCATGTTTCTGTTTAAAAAATCATAATTCTGGCAAATTTGCAAGGTACACCTGACCGTTTTTGCAGGTCCAGTCCAACAGTTTTGCTTTTGGGACTGAACCTTTCTTCCAAAGCTGTTTCTCTTAAGGGCGTTATTGGCTCTCATTGTCAGATATGAAATGAGTCTGATGTACTTCGAAAGTTTTTTCACTGTAAGTGGAGAAAAGCAGTGTTGGTAGGATCGATGTCGGTTTCTGCTTTTCTTCCATGATTCTTCAGAATTAGATTCTTATTCTACTGCGTGATCCAAACGAAACTAAACAAGAATCGACAAATTCAGAAAAGGAAAGAGAATCTGAATCATTGACCTCTTTTCAACTGGAACAAATTTACCCTTACCACCGAGTCCATGCAACAAACCCTGAGAGTCTCTGTCAGCCGGAGAAAAGAATTGCGAAAACAAGGGAGAAGAAGATTCTTCTGTGATTAACGGACTCCAAAAACTATTATTTAATGTAAAATATTAATTTAAAAAAAAATACCACTAAGCCATGGTTCGTGTCCAATTACTTTCATCGAATTAATTGAATATTTTTAGTCACAAGCCCCCACAAAATGCCTCAGCACTTGTAACAAGGCCCACGAGTCTCCTCCTCGTGACATCTTCGCATTTAAATCGGGAAAATAAAGAAGTTTCTCAGAGTTTAGGTTGTGAGAAACTTCTCGTAAGTTTCTCACGGCCTTAACGTTGCGGAGCCGAAATCGACACAGCAGCATACGCATGTACTTTCCTGCTTCGTTTGTCTCGATTCGCAGAGCTGACGACAGGCGTTGGCTGTCGATTCCTCCGAGCGGACGACGCGAGTGTCGTTACGGCTGTCGTTTCTCCGAGCGGACGCTAGATGGCGGGGATGGACTCACCGCCTTTATTTGGATGGCCTTAAATCTCTCGCTTTCCTCGTCTTTCTCGTGACTGCATAGTGTGATTTTTCGAGCTCATGAATCTATCCGCTGGCGACTTTCAGTCTTGGCGGACCATTCCTACACCCAGAAGTCTTTTTTCCTTAATTTTGAGCCTGTGCAATTTTTTGTGCCAGAGGCTTTGAGACCCCTTGTTCATTTCGCACCTGTGTAAGCAGCTACTCGAAGCATGCGAACATTTCTCTCCATTCTGCGCCTCTCTGAAGAAAATGAGTTAATCATCTGGAATGACATCACGCGTCGCTTCGATCTCTCGATCGCTTCCCCGACCCGTCTCACAGCTCCTTTCAAGATCAGGAATGCTATGGCGAGGGAAACCACAAGCGCGCCATTCATCTAGCGGGAAACTATGTTCTTATGCCTTTATTCTCCGCGAATGGGTTTCCCAGCGCTAATATTTCAAAGGTTATAATAAATTCATATATCATTCAATATGTAGAGAGCTTATACATATTGATCGACGGTAAAAGTAATGGAAAAGAGCATCCTCGACTAAGCATCACTGTCTGAGCATCACTGTCCGCGTGGAACATCCACCATCCACGGAGCAGTGGTTCGAGCGCCTCGATTGCAAGCGCTGGGACCTTTTCACTTCATGTGGTTCCTTCGGGTCGTCTCTGCGTTATAATACTATATGTACAAATGTATTTTCTTAGTAGAAAACCAGCTGTCGGGTTATCGCGTTGCGGAAAATCTCCGACAGTAGATTTCTTGCCTTCTGGTCCTGCGTAAGTTCAGTTTTGGGCCGGAAAGCACTTGCCAAGTCGCCTCACAATCTTTAGGCCTATTATCGGGCCTTTTTCCTTATTCATCACTGCTTTATTACTGCTTCCTCGGTCCAGAGTCGATTCGAGCAATGACGCACACCCGCTCAGTTTGCAGCATAGCATATCGAAACTTTAACCAGTGCATCTGCCCAGCGAATCGGAGCCATGCTTCTCTTCCAACCCCTCTTTTCTTTGCATGTCGTTTTTAAGGTCTTCCGGGCATGGGTCTCCTCTGAGCGAATTCCCCTTTCGGCGTCCGGTGGTCAACCGGCTGCAGTTCCATCGCCACGTCCACTTCCACGAAACGCAATGCACTCGAGTCGGCGAGATAGATCGCTCCCAGGAATCTGCTAGTTCACCGTCCTCATCTCTGGTAAAGTTCTCCAACTCTTGAGATTCCGAAAAGGACCACAAGGGCCTCGCTGGATCCTCATCCTCATCCACGAGGATGCGGATCCAGCAAGGCCCTCGGTCCTCCCGCCATCTCTTCAGAAACCCCGCCCCTTCTCCTTCCACAAATCGTTCGCAGCCGATCGTTCGCAGCGCTTCTCGCCATCGGCGTCGACGGCGGACATCATGCGCTCGATCGGGCCATGCAGGGTGATCGAGAAGTCGCCCGACCCAAAAGAAATCTTGCCACGACCGAAAGAAGCTTTTTATTCTTCCGAAGTCACACTTTTTGTAGCACCAACTCCAGTTTGAAGACTTAGCGGTCGCAGTCCACACAACAATAGCCGCCAAGACTTTTCGGTTGCGTGACTTTTCGATCACCGTGTATTTCAGCTCCGATCCGCGTATTGATGCAATTACGAACGCTTTAGGACCTGTCGCTGCGCCAAATTTCGTTGCGAAAATATTCACAGTTTCTGAGAGTTTTGTCATTTTCGGGGGGGGAAGAAAGGAATTGCCAGTGTTGCTACTCGAATTCTGGCATCCGTGGAAGGGTTTCTTCACGCCTCCGGTTGCAAAGACTCCATCCAAGAAAAGTTTTCGCGATCACGGAAATTTTGCAATCTCCAGCGACAAGAAAATGGCCGGCCGATCTACGTTTCGAAGAGGAAATTATTTTCGACATTTCAAGCGTAGCAAATGTAAGTCTTACATTAAAAAATGAGCTCAAAGTACTGTTGGAGATGTCCGGATGGGACCCCATCGTTTCAATTAATTGCGTGCTGGAAACGAGTGTAAAAATAGGCTGCTAAGATTAAATAGTCCCTGGTTCGGAGAAAACAGGATTTTTTTTTTCTCGGCGAATTTTTTTCCTCCGCTGGAAGAGCAAAGCCCGGTTAATTGCCTCTTTTCAAGCCGCCTTCAGAAATGGCACCGACGAAAACGAAGTGGGATAAGTAGAAGAAAGCGGGCGTGAGGGGAAGATTGCCAGATGGGACACGGTTGGCCAGAGGATGGCACGAAGGCGGTACGAAGGCGGCACCACCGCCGCATCGAGGATCCAGTGATTTCGCGGAATCAGGCTTCCATCGACCGAGCGAGTTCCATCGACCGGGTTCCATCGACCGAGCGAGTTCCATCGACAGGGTTCCACGAACCTCGATTTCGCATTTCGTTTTGTCAGCGGCTTCCGAATGCGTCGAGCTGGTTCCAACGGGGGACATACCCCATTCGTCACTGTCGGATCCCCCGTCTTTTATGTGCCGTAGTTCCCATGGCAAATTTCGAGCCACGTTTCGGCCGACGAGCTGCGACGTCGTCGACGGCCTCTCGGATCCCGCCGCAGCGAGATTATTATTTTTTTCCGACGTCAGCGAAAATGTCCCGCGAGCAAAGTCTGATCGTTGCCCTCAGAGGGAAATAGGTCGGTCGGCAGTCTTAAAAGTTTCAGAATGAAAATTCGCTTTCGCTTTCAAAACATCCTTATTCACCCAAATTTTCACTAATTTTCACCAAAATACTAAGAAATCTTAATTACTACGATTCGTACAGGCTGGCCCAAATAAAGGTAACCGAAATGCGAATAAGACGCCAGGGTGCAAAGGCTTTTAGCAATTCCAGGTTTTACTTACGCGTTTCACCCATACGAGAATTTTTCAGCAGCATGGTTTTATGTTAAGTCAGCGAGTCCATCGATGTTCATGTTCACCGGTGTTCAACATGTTCACCGTCCCGCTGTAAACACTGCTGCACATTTCGGTTACCTTTTTTTTCGAAAGTGTATCGTGCCGAGACGGCTTTCGCCACCGTCCTCCACCGTCCTCCACCGTCCTCCACCGCCCTCCACCGTCCTCCACCGCTTCGCGTGAGGCTGGAGGCGCGCCGGACGGCCAGCCGACTTTCAGTCCAGCGATTTTTCCGAAACGTTTTTTATTCTTCGCAGAATCAAGAACTCGTTGGAAGCGTTCCAGACCTTTTTTGATCATGGCTCCTCCGAAAACGAAAAATAACCACGCGTGTGGCCACACATCAGATTCCATGACTTTTTGAATCATCGTCCTGTCGTTTTCCTATATTTTCCTTTTAAAAATTCTATATAATTTCAAAACTAAATTTGTTCACCATCTCGCACGGCGAATTAGTTTCCGCGCGCATTTCTCATCGGCTGAAAATTTTTTTGCTTTTATTTTTTGCATGAAACATCTGCTCGAAAGTGAAGCAAGCCAGTTTCTCCATGCCTAATGAAAGTTTTCGCCGATGGTAATTATCGTTCGCGCAAATGATCCAAATCGGGGCTTGCCTTTTTTTTTCCTAGCCACTCTGCATAATGTCGCAGTCCCGTTAGAAATCAGACTAATTCATTCAGACTGATGGAGAGTTCTGTCAAGACGTTTCAAGGGAGAGTTCCGGCGGTTGCCAGGGCTGCGAGTAGGGTTGCCACCTTTGAAATTAGCAAAATATGGACATATGGAAATATGGACAAATATATTAAGTATACTTGAGGTATACAATACAACCTATACAATTGATGCTATAAGAGTGTGGCATACAACTCTGGCTTGAAGAAAACAGTGGTTTTAGCTGCTATTAAGTTTTATTAACT